CATCGCCCGGTGTCTGGCTCTGATATCATTTGTAACAACTCAAACTCACTACTAGCAGATACTGTCCTCTTTAGGTTTTCCCTTTCGGGCTTTCCCTCACAGTTTTTAAAACGCGTCTGCTAGGGAGAGGTTTCCACACCCTTATAAAGAATGTTTCGTTCTCCTCTCCAACCGATGTGGATCTCACAATCCTCCCCCCTTCGGGGTCCACATCCTTGCTGGCACACCGTCTTGTGTCCACCTTCCCTTCGAGGCTCAGCCTCCTTGCTAACACATCGCCTAGTGTCTAGCTCTTATACCATTTATAATGACCCAAACCCACCGCTAATAAATATTGTTCTCTTTAGGCTTTCCCTTTCGGGCATCCTCTCAAAGGTTTTTAAAACACATCTGCTAGGGAAAGGTTTCCACACTCTTGTAAAAAATGTTTCGTTCTCCTCCTCAACCAATATGGGATCTCACAATCTCCCCCATCAGAGCTCAGTATCCTCGCTAGCACTCGTTCCCTCCTCCAATCTATGTGGGATCCTCCAATTCACCCCCTTTCGAGGCTTTGTGTCCACCCGTTTCGGAGATCAACCTCCTCACCCAATGTCTAACTATGATATCATTTGTAATGACCTAAATCCACCGCTAACGGATATTGTTCTCTTTGGACTTTTTCTTTCGAACTTTCTCTTAATGTTTTTAAAACGCGTAGGCTAGAAAGAGGTTTTCACACGCTTGTAAAGAATGTACATTCTCCTCTTCAACTGACGCGAAATCTCACATAAATATTAGATAAAATGACCCTACAATCACTCCTTGTTTAGTTCAGAATCAGTATCATGGCAGAAACAGAAACCCCCCTTGAATTTAGCCTTCTGATAACAACATCTCTTAGAATCATCATCATTGTAAAACAGGCTCTTTTCTTCCTTTTTTCCCCCTTTTCTTTTTTATAATCTAAACTTTCCTCTCACCTTGCAGCTTCCAAGGAGAAAGAAAGTTCATCTTCCAAGCTTTTGAGGAAATGGAAGAGTTTTACAGGCTCAACAGCTCTGTTCTATCCTCATACACTAATGGAGTTGTTGCTAGTGAGGCCATTGCAAGCACTAGCTCTGGTGGAGTTCATGGAGCTAAAATGATGAACACTGAAATGATTCAGACCACTACTGGCTTGAACATGTCTGAAATCATCAAAACTCAAATTGTCAACCATCCCCTTTATTGCAAACTGGTTTCTGCTTACATTGAATGCCAAAAAGTTTGTAATTTTTTGTACTCCTCATGTTTTTAGATGCCTTTAGCAGTGTTTGAGGTTGTCTTGTTGTTGAATTGTGATGTTTTTTGCTTGAATTAAGGTTGGAGCTCCATCACAAGTGGCTTGTCTTCTTGAAGAAATTGGTCGTGAAAATCACCCTCCTAGGTCATGTATTGTGCTGGGAGCTGATCTCAACTCGACAACTTTATGGTACTTTTTGTTTTCTTAAACTTTCCTAATGTCATTTTATGGTTGGATATCACTTGTCCATAAGTTACTAACCATATAGTCTCTAAACTTAGATAATTGCTGCTTTTGCACTCTAGATCATAGTTTTCTTGGAAGAACCTAAATTCAAAGAATACTGACAGCGACTCGTCGAGGGCTCGACGTAGCTACACAAGAACAGCTTAATAATGGTGGCAAATCCTCATGGATTCTAATCATTTCATGCTCAGCTGTCTGTTAATGATCTTGTCTTGCAGATTTCATGTTCATATGAGTTTCTTTCCTTCTCAAGGGGTGGATGAAAACTGAACTTGTTTGAGTTTTGGAGAATGAAAATAAGGGTTTGTAATGGCTTAAGCCCACTGCTATCCGATATTGTCTACTTTAATCTGTTACGTATCATCGTTACCTTCACGGTTTAAAACGCGTCTACTAGGGAGAGGTTTTCACACCTGTATAAGGACTGTTTCGTTCCCCTCTCTAGTCAATGTGGGTTCTTATAGTTTACCCACCTTGGAGGCCCAGCGTCTCTACTAACACACTGCCCTGCATCTGGCTATGATACTATTTGTAACAGCCCAAGCCCACCACTAGTAGATATTGTCCTCTTTAGATTTTCCCTCAAGATTTGAAAACGTATCTATTAGGGAGAGGTTTCCACACCCTTATAAGAAATGTTTCGTTCTCCTTCCGATCAATGTGAGATCTCACAATTTACCCCCTTGAGGGCCAGCGTCCCCACTGACACACCGCCATGTGTTTGGTTCTGATACCATTTGTAATATTCCAAGCCCACCGCTCGTAGATATTGTTCTTTTTAGATTTTCCCTCAAAGTTTTAAAACGCGCCTACTAGGGAAAGATTTCCACACTCTTATAAAGAATGTTTCATTCTCTCCAATTAATGTGGGATCTCACAATTTACCCTCTTGGGGGCCAATGTCCCCACTGACACACCGCCCTGTGTTTGGTTCTGATTCCATTTGTAACAGCCCAAGCCCACCGCGAGTAGATATTGTCCACTTTAGGCTTTCCCTTCTCCGCTTTCCCTCAAGGTTTTAAAACGCATCTACTAGGGAGAGGTTTCCATCTCCTTATAAGGAATGCTTCGTTCTCCTCTCCAACCAATGTGAGATCTCACAATCCACCCCCTTAGCGCCCCAACATCTCTGCTGGCACACCGCCATATGTCTGGTTCTGATACCATTTATAACAATCCAAGCTCACTGCTAGCATATATTGTCCTCTTTAGGCTTTCCCTTAAGCTTTTAAAACGCGTCTACTAGGGAGAGGTTTCCACGCCCTTATAAGAAATGTTTCGTTCTCCTCTCCAACCAATGTGGGATCTCACAATTCACCTCCTTAGCGCCCTAACATCTCTGCTAGCACACCACCCTATGTCTAGTTCTGATATCATTTGTAACAACCCAAGCTCACCGCTACCAGATATTGTCCTCTTTAGACTTTTACACTTCGACTTTCCCTCAAGGTTTTAAAACGCATCTACTAAGGAAAGATTTACACACCCTTACAAGGAATGTTTCGTTCCCCTCTCCAACTGATGTGAGAAACTTTGTGAACTTTCAGTTGTTTTTGTTCGTTTTCTTTCTTGTTTTCTATTGTTTGTTTGAAATTTGAGTTCTTTGTGATACCCTCTTAAGGGAATACATGAATTCATTAGTCTCTTAGTACTTATGAACCTAAATGTTCCAAAAGATAGCTAAAAATTGAAGCTTTTTCCCCCCCTTAAAGGAGTCATACTGTGAGGTTCTTCATCAATACAAGAATGAGCTAACCAAGCCATTTGATGAAGCAACAATGTTCTTAACCAACATTGAATTGGAGCTAAGCAATCTATGTAAAGGATCATTTACCGCAACGTCGGATTCTCGTCCCGCCACGAATGGTACTTTCTTCTTCTCTTCATCCATAACATTCATTCAGTTCCTACAACCATGGAGATGTAATGAACTAGTTAACAAACATCGATGATACAAATCGAACGAATGTCGGTATCTTTTTCGAGTATTTATGAACATTTTGATGCAAAAAAGTGGACTATGAATGTGACAATTACTCCTCTTTTGTTCCATATGTTCATAGACGAAGTAGCCGAGACGCCGGAGGACGAACCGAGCAGCTACCGGGAAGTCGAGATGCCGGGAAATCACGAGCCATTCGGCACGAGGCAAACGAGCCAAGACCTCAAAGAAATGCTGCTGAAGAAATACAGTGGCTATCTAAGCAGTTTGAAGAAGGATTTCCTTATAAAAAGGAAGAAGGAGAAGCTTCCGAAGGCTGCAAGAATGGCTTTATTTGATTGGTGGAACACTCATTACAAATGGCCATATCCCACGGTAATTTTAATCCTTTCGCAGTAAAAAATATAGCACAAAGCATAAATTTTTTTACAGTATTTACCTTTTTCATTGGTTTGACAGGAAGAGGAAAAATCAAAACTTTCTGGTATTACTGGTTTGGATCAGAAGCAGATCAATAACTGGTTCATTAACCAGCGAAAGCGGCATTGGAATCCGCCCGAAGAAATGCGATTCGCGCTCATGGACAGTGTCGGGACCGGGGTCGGGGTTGGGGCCGGGGTCGGGGAATGCATCAAAGGTTCAAATTTTTATGACAATTGAGAACCAGGAGGGAGGCCGTGTTGTTTAGTTGAAAGTATATATTATAGGAGTACATTTAGTATCATAATCCATTTTTACCTGTTAGGTCAGATTAAGTTGTAGTCGTATTGTAACTTTTAACTTAAACAAGGGTTGTTGTGAGATCCAACGTTGGGAGGAACGAAACATTCCTTATAAGAGATTGGAAACTTCTCTCGAGTAGATGCGTTTTAAAAATTGTGAGATTGACGGCGATACGTAACGAGCTAAAACGAATAATATCTATTAGTGGTGGGCTTGAACTATTACAAATTGTATCAAAACTAACACCGAGCAGTGTGCCAACGAGGGTATTGACTCCCAAGGGGAGTGGATTGTGAGATCTCACATCAGTTGAATAAAGGAATGTGTTTGTAACTTTTAACTTGAACAAGGTTGTTGTGAAATCCCACATTGGAAGGAACGAAACATTCAGATCGAAAACTTCTCTCTAGTAGATGCGTTTTAAAAATTGTGAGATTGACAGCAATACGTAACGAGCTAAAACGGACAATATTTATTAGGGGTGAGTTTGAACTATTGCAAATGATATCAGCGTTAGACATCGTGCAGTGTGTCAACGAGACGTTGACCCCCAAAGAGAGTGAATTATGAGGTCTCACATTGATTGAAGAAGGAAATATCTGCTAGTAGCGGACAACATCGGCTGGCTAACAGTGAGTTTGGTGAGTTTGGATATTAATAAAAATTTTAAAGTTGATATTTTTTAAAAAAAAAAATCAAGGATAATATTAATTTTTTTTTTTTAAATCAAAGGTATGTTTTTTAGACAAGCTATATTTTTATTAAATTAGCCTAATATTTATAACTTGATTTTTTATTTTTATTTTTTAAAATTTTTTAAAATTTTTTACGTTTAAAGTGAAGCTGAAGCCCATCATCGCCGCCGGACTGGTTTTCTACCGCTGTACTCTCCGCCGACTCAACATTCAACCACTTCACTCAATCTTCCGTCTCTTTCACTACTCTCCATCAACTCCGCCACCGTCAAATTCATGGCAGTTCAATGTCTCTCTCTCTAACTTTCCGCAGATTTTCAAATTTCTCAGCATTCCCAGCTACCATTTCCAATGCCGCCTGTCAGATTCAACGATCCTTGGGACGAGAAGGACGAAGTTTCAGAGGGAAAATGCGCGTTCCCCGTTGTAGCTCTCTGCCCTTGTCTCGTATGTTTGATTCTCGTTCTCATGGTAGTTTTCATTCTTCTCTTTGTCAAATTCCATTTATATTGCCACACGCCTCTTCATTCTTTGTTCCTCAAGAAACAATGTTGATTGCTATGAGTTCCCGCACGATTAATTTCAGAAATCCCCCTTTCCCCTGTTTTGATTTACTAGTTAGAGGCTTTTGCGATCGGAATTCGGATTCGGATTCTGAAATTGAACGTGAGATTAGGGAGGATGATGATCGTGAGAGTGAATCTAGGGCAAATTCGATCGAAGTTGATCGTGTATGCAAGGTGCTCGACGAATTGTTTGCTTTAGATAGAAATATGGAGGCTGTTCTTGATGAGTGTGGTATCATATTGTCTCACGATCTGGTTTTGAATGTCTTGGAAAGATTCAAACAAGCTCGAAAACCTGCATTTAGATTCTTCTGTTGGGCTGCTCATAAACCAGGATTTTCCCATGATTCCAAAACTTACAATATGATGATGACAATTTTGGGGAAGACGAGGCAGTTTGAAACCATGGTTTCATTGCTTGAAGAAATGGCTGCAAAAGAGCTTTTGACAATGGAAACTTTCACCATTTGTTTCAAATCCTTTGCAGCTGCAAAAGAGAGAAGGAAAGCTATTGGGATCTTTGAATTGATGAAGAAGTATAAATATAAAGTTGGTGTAGAAACTATAAACTGTTTGCTTGATAGTTTAGGCAGGGCAAAGCTTGGTAAAGAAGCTCAAGCCGTTTTCGAGAAGTTGTGTGGTCGGTTTACGCCGAATTTGCAAACATACACGGTTTTGTTGAACGGTTGGTGTCGGGTGAGGAATCTAATGGAGGCTGGGAAGATATGGAATCTGATGATTGATGAAGGTTTTAAGCCTGATATTGTTGCTCATAATACCATGCTTGAAGGTTTATTGAGGTGTAAGAAGAGGTCAGATGCTATCAAGATGTTTGAGGTTATGAAAGCGAAAGGCCCGTCTCCTGACGTTAAAAGCTACACGATCTTGGTTCGAGATTTCTGTAAACAAAACAAGATGAAAGAAGCGGTTGAGTATTTCGAAGAAATGCAGAGGGCGGGATGTCGACCCGACGCTGGAATCTATACATGTTTGATCACAGGGTTTGGGAATCAAAGAAGAATGGACATGATTTATGGGATACTAAAAGAGATGAAAACAAATGGTTGCCCACCTGATGGGAAGACCTATAATTCTCTGATCAAGTTGATGACGAACAGGCGAATGCCCGACGACGCTGTTCGGATATACAACAAGATGATTGAAAGCGGCATTAAACCAACAATCCACACGTACAACATGATGATGAAATCCTACTTTCAAACAAGGAACTACGAAATGGGTGTTTTTGTTTGGGACGAAATGAAGCAAAAGGGGTGCTGCCCGGACGATAACTCGTATACCGTGTTCATCGGAGGGCTCATAAGTCATGGACGATGCAGTGAAGCAGGTAAGTATCTTGAGGAAATGATCGAGAAAGGAATGAAGGCTCCTCAGCTTGATTACAACAAATTTGCTGCTGATTTCTCTAGAGCTGGAAGACCTGACATTCTTGAAGAATTAGCTCAAAAACTGAAATTCTCTGGTAAATTTGAAGCATCTAATGTGATTGCACGATGGGCTGAGATGATGAGGAAGAGAGTCAAGAGAAGAACTCCTACGAACATTGTCAATGCCGATCATAGCAGCCGACTGATACATGATGAACACTATTTTTCAGTCCGTCCATGAGCGGGAAAACTCGAACCTTTGACCTGCCAATCGACGGTATATACCTACGTCGACGTCGGTCGGGCTATGCTCTGGTTGATTAGTCTATCCATTGAGTACTGTATTTTAACAGCAGACTGTAAATTTATTAGAATTTCAGCTTGGTTTATTTCACATCAGTTTGATATTAATTCTGTAGGTTGAATTCATTTATTAGAAATTTTTCTAAGTACGAACCCGTCACAAATCAAGCTTTTAAAAGATGAAACGAAGCTATTTACAATAAACATAGAGAAGGTTTATAACACTTTGATACCAATTTTAAATTATTAATTCTTTTCCAAATTTTTAGTTTCCTTTTTAATTTTTTTAATTTTTTCTAAGATTTGAATAGTTGGATTTTCCTAAACAATTTTAAGAATTCGAGCTCTAGGTTTAAGAAGTCGAGGTTGAGGTTTAAGAAGGTTTAAGAAGTCGAGGTCGACAAAAGTCCAGCCTAGCCTCACAACCATACTATGAATAGAGTAGGTTGTGACCCTCATGTCAAGCATACCAAGCGGCAATCCTTAGGAGGTGCCCATTGAGCCCCGTTAAGGTTCCACATGGTTGGAAAAGTACGACCATAACACAACACTAATGCTTTAAACGGCTTGGCTATGCTTAAGTTCCCACATGGTTGAAAAAGTACGACCATGACACAATACTAATGCTTTAAACCGCTTAGCTATGCTCAAGTCATTTTGACAACATTTAAGATTATATCGAGTTTAGCAATATCTAAGACGAAAATTTCTAATATGTTGATTCCATCTAATTATTAGGAATATTTTACCATATATATTTAAAAACGTTTAAATCTCTATCTACTTTTTCCTTTTTGGCTCAATTCCATATATGAACATTTGTTCATAAGGAGAGAAAAAGCTTGAAATTTTTGCAGAAGAACAATAGCGTTTTAAACTTCAGCAGACAACAAGCACAAACAAAGCCTAACAAAGCTCCAGCAATTTCAAAGGTCTCTCTCTCTCCCTTACAAAAATTTCTAGTTTTGTAACACGTTTGGGGAATATCGAGTTGGGCTAAGAGGATAGGTAACATGCTTGTGGAATATCGAGTTGGGCTAAGAGGATAGGTAACATGCTCATGGAATATCGAGTTGGGATAAGAGGATAGGTAACATACTCGTAGAATATCGAGTTGGGCTAAGAGGATAGGTAACATGTTCATGTAAGAGGATAGGTAACATGCTCGTGGAATATCGAGTTGGGCTAAGAGGATAAGTAACATGTTTGTGGAATGTCGTAATACTGTTCATTAATTATTTTTCTTTGGTTAAAAGATAAGTTTAGTCCTTTAATTTTGAGTTTTGTGATTATTTAATCCCTTTTAACTTTTAAACGTGTTTAGGGTTTAGGGTTTATTTAATCAGTTTTGTTTGATATGTTTTGAATAGAATATTGAGTCGGGTTAAGAGAATAGGTAACATATTCATGGAATATCGTAACAACGTTCATAATTATTTTTCTGTCATTACAAATGTCTTTTTAATCTATCAATATTTAAAAGTGTTTAATAAATTTGGTATATAATATGTTTTTAACAAATATATTATATATCTATATATATATATATATATATATATTTGTACGGAAAAAGGAAAAGAATAATTATCAATAATATGCCATTAACGGAAAATGTATACGATTACCTTATTTTATTTTATTTTATTTTATTTCCTTAAAATTCTTTATTTAATTTGATTTATGTTTTGAATTATTTTATTTTTACTTTCCTTAAAATAATTTATTACACGTTTCCTTAATTTCTTTCCTTAAAAAATGTGATTCTCTTTTATTTATTTATTTATTTAATAAAAAAAACATTGCCTGTTTTTTCATAGGAAACATAATCCATTATGGGTATATTTTGATTCTTTCTCATTTTTTTTTTAATATTTAGAATTATTTCCTTAACTAATCAAATCATAATCTATCATATTTATTTAACAGATTTAATTGATTTTAATTTAAAATATATTAGATAAACTCATAGTATTATTATTATTATTATTATTATTATTAATTCTTTCTTTTCCCATTCACCTTATTTCCATTTTTTTTCATTTTTTTTATTTTTTGTTTTTAATAAATTGTAATTATTTTAGATTTTGTTATCCATAATCTGCTTTTATTATTCTTAATATTTTACTTAATTGAAATTAATGAAAATTCTCCAAAATCCCAAATTCCTTAATTTTCTCATATTTCCATTTTTACCAATTAATTTTTTTTAATTATTATTTTGAACATTAATTTTTTATTTTTCATTTGTATATTTCTTGGTGGTGCAATTAGGTAATGATTGGAAAATTCACAAGTAGACGAAGAAGAAGAAGAGAACAGCCATGAAGCTTTTCTTGTTCATAATTTCAAGGCCAATTTCTTTCTCCATTTTATTGGTAATAAATAATTCTTCCATTTAAATCCATATTCAAATTCTTTTTCTTCCAAAATGACATAAACTATTCAAACTCGAACCTCCATTGCAGGCATTTGTGTTACTCGTACTTCCAAGCTTGTTGATTCCATTCTGGTACGGTACGATCAAACGTATTCATTCTCATCTCGTCACGAATACCTACAATGATACCTTAGAAATATCAATCGAGATGGAGAGAATATCAACTTCGATTCAACCAATTTATTCGTCAACAACCAGTTTAGTTAAAACTTTCGACTCATCTCTCAATGGAACTCAGATTTCGTCTTTTGAACTAAAATCTAAGGTTGGCAGATAGATACCTAATTCCTTGTCCTCAACTTGTTTAAATCCGACTATAATAAAAAGGATCCTTGATCTTAAATGGTTGACTCGATTTGGCCTCGAAACATTGAGTAATGTCAATTTCGTCTTCAAACTATTAATGTTTTGAATGTGTTTTGATCTTTCAGATTGCTCCTATGTTATTTCAAGGATTTGCAATCATTCCATACCTGACTCAAATTTCCTATATTGGGATAGATGGTCTATTCTTCTCATACTACACTGACAAAAACCAAACTTTTGCAGTCTATTCTAACTCAACCTTCACTGCCAAATTCTATCCTCCTCCTCCTCCTCCTCCTCCTCCAGGAAGGGAATGGAGTTGGCTGACTCAATTAGTAAACTCCAGCACAGGGGAATTATATGGGGATATGGTAGAGACCCTACCCTCAGTCACTACCAATACAAGCTGGTTTCGAGACGCCCTGAATAACCAAGGAAGTGCCTCTGTAGGGAAAAAATGGAGCTCAGATCAAGAACTTTTGTTGCTCAACACAGTCAGAGTAAATGGAAGAAATGGTGTTCTCTCATTTGGGTTTTCAATCAAAGCACTCATTGATCTGTTCTTCACTAGCATTGAACGACAAGGAGGGAGATTGTACCTGGCAAGCACTGAAGGAGAAATTCTTGTCCAAGGGTTTCAGAACATTAAGATGGTCCTTGCTAATGGTTCGGCTTCATTTCGGTTCTTGAAGCCGAATGGCAATGAAACTGCTCGCGTCGAGAATATCTCATGTCGGCCTAGGAAAGAAACTTTTGATGCAAAGGATTATTTCTTCAATCTCTTGGGTACAAACTATATGATATACTGCTCTCCACTTGAGATATTGGGTGTGCAGTTGGTAAGTCATCATTTCCAACAAGAACGTATTTCCTGAAAAGTTAAGAACATATGAATCAGTTCATAATTATAAGAATTGTCTGTTACTTATGTTTTTATTTCAGGTCTATTCATTAGTATTGCCTCAGAAAGAGTTAGCTAGCCTTGTCCACAAGAGTAGTAGAATGGGACTAATTCTTCTTATACTAACAATGAGTACTACAGTTATCTCCATTTTTGGTTTTGTGTTCATAGTCATTAGAGCAGCAAACAGAGAGATGCATTTATGTGCCAAACTCATTCAACAAATGGAAGCAACTCAACAAGCAGAGAGAAAGAGTATGAACAAGAGTGTCGCTTTCACACAAGCAAGCCACGACATTCGCGCTTCTTTGGCAGGCATTATTGGCTTGATTGAGATATGCCATAATGAAGCTGCCCCAGGTTCGGATTTAAACATAAACCTAAAACAGATGGATGGTTGTACAAAGGATCTTCTAGGTAATTCACATTCAAAACTTGAACATTCATCTCCTTGATTGTCAAACATATAAAAATTTGGTTATAATCTATTTCAGCCATATTGAACTCTATTTTGGATACAAGCAAGATTGAAGCAGGAAAAACACAGCTTGAGGAAGAAGAATTTAATTTGAGTCAACTTCTCGAGGATGTGGTAGATTTGTATCATCCAGTTGGAATGAAGAAAGGAATAGACATAGTATTAGATCCTTATGATGGCTCCATTATCAACTTTTCACAAGTGAAAGGTGATAGAGGAAAGCTTAAACAAGTGTTGTGCAATTTACTAAGCAATTCTGTTAAATTTACTTCCGAAGGTCACGTAACTGTTCGAGCGTGGGTGAAGAATTTACCTGATATGCAGAATAAGTTGATTCCTTCGAATCACAATGGTGAAATATTGAAGCATCTATCCTTCTTATTATGCAAAGACACACAAACATTACGAGAACAGCAAACCGCAGATAATGGAGTTCATTTGAATCCTAATTGTTATGAATTTATATTTGAGATAGATGACACAGGGAAAGGCATTCCTAAAGAGAAGCGGAAACTGGTTTTCGAGAACTACGTCCAGGTAAAAGAAACAGCTCAGGGCCAAGGAACTGGCTTGGGACTTGGGATTGTTCAATCTTTGGTATGTAACTTTTCCTCATGTATCTTGCTAATTTGCTACTAAATGTTTAAGTTGAAGCTCAGCTCATTGTTTAGAACAAAGAAATTTCAAGTACATTTGTTTCTATTATTGAAGGTACGCTTGATGGGAGGGGATATAGAAATTTTAGACAAAGAGATTGGAGCAAAGGGAACATGCTTCAGGTTCAGTGTTCTTCTTAATGTTTCAGAGGGCAACATCAATTCTGGTAATAACACATGTCAATCATTGGCTGCCTCAAAACTGACATTTAGAGCCCCCAGTCCAAGTCCCCATTCCCCTAGACCAATACAAACTACTAGTTTAAAAACCGAAACATCTCGTGTCCTTCTCTTAATTCGAAATGATCAACGAAGAATGATATGCAAGAAATTCAT